TCAACTTTCATCTTCTGTGTTTGATCATCAATGTTCCTGCCGTTTGTCCGTATCAAGTATCTCCATCTAGGGTCACCAAGAACCTTCGGTGGCCTCGAGGCAAGAATTATTATTCAAATTTTACAGATGGGTAAGCAATCACAGAAGGAGAACTCTGTTTGCTTTGACTCACCTAAGCGAGTCTCTGAGTATTCCCACAGGCTTTTTAGAGAGCCTTGATTCTGTGGGAATGAACTTGGCTGTTTTGGGGATCTTACTCAAGCACTTCTGCAGGCTCAGCCGGTGATGATAGAAAGTCCCAAATAATGAAAACATTCCCAAATCTCAGTTCATTTGTTCGATTTTCTAAAATGTGTATTGGAATCCACCAAATTTCAGACAATGAAGTCGTACAGCCTTGGCAGGTCTAAATATCACAGTTGTTCAAAAATGGGAGGAAGGGAGCGTGCCCCAGTTTTTAGAACTTCCGCTTCAAATGAACATAGAGAAGACTCACTTATCAGTTTCCTGACCAATTAGGTCACTGGGCAGGAAATCACCTTTTACAAAGAGCCAGTAAGCAGATTCTTCCTACGTTAAATTTCCCATAAACAGCATTAATGGTCACTTATGACAGCCCTCTCATGGGAACGCTAGGAGCTCAAAAGACAGGAAGAAAATAAGGCCATGAATATATAGTATAAGCTGTCTAGCTTCCCCATCGACCTGTCCCGTGACCCTACCAGCACAATCACCTAGGGTTCTTCTCTTGTGATGTGGTTAGTTTTCAGCCTCTAACCAGGGAGGGTCAGTTCTAGGCCACCTGACTTGTGTGACTCCAGCTGCTAGTCCAGTTGAGCACGGCTAAGTAGCTTGCCAAGCCGGGGCATGTGCTGTCTGTGGAGCCCTCTTGCCCTGGGATATCACTGAACATCAGAACAAAGGAAGCAGAACATGGACCTGAGTGACATGCGGAGCTCAGATAAGATGGCTTGTCAGTGCCGTCCCTGAGATGGGCCTTTGGGCAATCCAGGACCTTTCTTGGGCCCCTGTGGACAGGACAGTAACTAGATAGTTGATCTTTGAGATATGATGAGTGCAGAGAAGGCTAATCAAAGTAGGGTTAACAGCCTGGTTTTGAACCCCAGCTCTGCCATTAACCAATCATGTGACTTTGAGGAAGTGACTTAATCTCTCATAGCTTAAGTCTGTCAATAGAATTGATAGTGTTGCCTGTCTTGTAGGCTATTGTGAGGATAAAAAATGGTGTACTAAATTCAAACGGTGTACGCCCTCTCTATTTGAGAGGCTTACGTAGTGCCTAGCACATAGTTAGTGCCTCTAAAGACATTGCCTTTGTCATTATTAATTTTCAAGGTCTTGCTAGGATTACTCTTACACTGGCCTGATACTTGTAAGTGCTTCTGAAACTTGCATCCTCAAAGTTACTTTTTCAGAGTTTTCTCTGGAAGTTTTTCTCTATTGTTTACCCTTGTGACCCTTGACGAGGACCCAGGTTTCCCTGTCCAGAGAACAGCCAAATATCTGCTACCGATCTGTCCCATTCTTGTTGGCCTGGTGGTACAGAGTTTTTCTTGGTTTGTTCTGGTTTTGTTTTTTAATCATTTGATTATTTATTTCCTTTTATGGAATTTTTAAAATAGTTGCTCCTGCCCTGGATGTGGCTCTGATCTCTAAAAACATTCCTTGCCTTCATTTAGAACTGGGGTACTCCTCCAGTTTTATCGCCACCCAAAAAAAAAAAATGTTTTAAGTTCTTAACCAATTAGTAACTCCTAATTATTCACATGCAGCCTTTTCTTGGCAAACTGTAAACCTCGGCCTCACTTAATCCTCTCATTTAGCAGACATATAAACAGCTAGCTTCTACAGTTTGCTTGAAAAAGTGCAAACCTATTAATTTTAGCTTAAGGTAGAATTAAGAATGTAAATATGCTGTTAAAACAAGTCTATAACATGGCTCAGCATTCAGTGGAAATAACTTATTAGTCATTTAATCAGTGTAAGCATCCTTGGGTTAAGTGATTCAGGCCTGCTGGCACAAACCAGACATGCCTCTGGCTCTTTCATAATGCATATTAATCAAAATCGCACAAATAACATACCACAGTATAAATGGAGGTAAATGAGAGAATTTGAAAAAGTATTATTGAACTTTAGAGGGGGAAGACACTAATTATTTCTGTGATGGTAAGAGAAGTTGGCATTTGAGAGGCAGCTTTGGACACAGGGTAGACATGTGGCCATACCACATGGGCAGATAGAAAAACCTGATGGACATGAACCCATCTGGTTCTCAAGTCTTCAAAAACTTAAAATGTAAATACTAAGCCAACTTTTATGTGTGGTGCTGTGGAATTGAACCCAGGACCTTGTCCTTGCTAAGCAAGCGCTCTACCACTGAGCAATATCCTCAGCCCAAGCAAGCATTTTTAAATCAGGAAAATTAACCCAAAATATTTGTTTTTGTCTTCTCCTTTTAAAAATCAGAAGAGGAGCTGGAAAGATGACATCTCAACGTTTAAGAACATTTGCTGCTCTTACGGAGGACCTGGATTTAGTTCCCAGCACCTCGTGGTGACTCACAACTGTCCATAACTCCAGTTACAGGGAACCTGATGCCCTCTTCTGGCCTCAGAAGGCACATGCCCACACATGGTGCACATACATACATGCAGACAAAACACATAAAAATAATAGCTAAATTATGGAATCAACCTAGGTCCATTAACAGAGGAATGGGTAAAGAAAACATGGTATATATAGACATATGGAATTTTTTCAGCCATGAAGAAAAATAGCTATATCAGTAAAATGATGCAATTGAAGATATTTATATTAAGTAAATTGAGTCCCCCAAAGGCAAATAATGCATAATTTCTCTTACTCATGGTTCCTAGATTTTATATAGATTCATAAAATCATGTATGTCCATAAGACATACATACAGAAAGGAAAGAGTTAAACAAAGGTCACCCAATGAAGAAGAAGAAAGAAAGAAAAAGGTCGAGAAATACGGGAGAATGTGCTGAAAGTACAATGACCTTATGTAACTCAGTACCGTGAACAGAGAGCATACATCACTCGAGGGGAAACGGACAGTGGAAGAGAGATTCGGAGGTCGTGTACCTCAAGAAAACTGGAATTGAGTCCGTCTCTGTTGTGATAAAGACCTAGCCTCTTACCAATGCACATTAATTTCATAGCCACTCGGTGGCTCTTCAGCATTTGGTATTAGATAGGGGGAAAAAAGCCGACCATGCCCAATTCCCTGGGGTTCACCCAAAGTAAGAAGAGGGAGATGAAAGAGAAGGTAAAGAAGCGCTCCGCATCGGAAAGGTCAACAGAGAAGGCCAGGAGACTCTCTGTCAACTGCTGACAAGAGGTCAAGGATGATGAGGACAGAGAAGTCAAAAGGTCACAGCAAAGCCATTCAGTGAGGGAACTCAGAGAGATGATGTCGGTGGGGGCGGGCCAGGAGCAGAAGATAAAGCCCCCAGAAGACATTGTTCAGGCATTAACGTCTTATCTTTAGGCCTGGAGGACTACTAAGGATTAAATCGGGGAGGAGGCGGGGTGATCAGATTCCCACAGGCCACATTATTTATTTTCATCTTCGTCTGTTCACGTTTTGAATTGTGTACACAATGAACCAGGGTCGCTCTAAATTTTACTCTTTTCTATTCTGTGCTAAATTCTTTAAATCCCCTTACTGAGGCCTGTTGTTGATTTCCATCTAATTCGTTCATTATCTAACTTTGGGGTTCCAGAACTGCTGTACTGTGAGGTGGGTAGACCTTTGCCATAGTCCTCTTCTGTTCATTACAGGATGTTCAGCAATGGCACTGGCCTCTACCTTCTAGATGCCAGTAGCCCTCCCAGTAGCCATTAGCCAACAAAATCACTTCCAGCTAAGACCCACGGAACATCATTTCTCGGTTGTGGTATTTGGACCCAAGAACTTAAGGCTTTGTGGAGCTGGTACTACATTGAAGTTTGTCTGTCCTGGGAAAGAGGACCAGTTACTACTTGATCATGAGGGGTGCAGATGAGATAATACGAGCAGAAGCTCCATGCCTCATTTTGTTTCAGCTAATTTATTCAACTTCTATTTTCTTGGTCTCCTCATTGGTATCTCAGTGATGGGAGTCAAAGTGTTCAACAGGGCCCCCCCAGGCCAGTATCCCTGCCTTGGCCTGGAGTCAAAGAGGGCACAAGATTGGGGAGGAAAACCTCAGGATATGCCAGATGTGATTAGAGGGATCTGGATTCCCTGAAGCAGGACTTTGGCAGCTTGCCTCTAAAGAGAAAGAAGGGGGTTGGGAAGCAGGGATGGTTTCTCCTGGTCGTGTCAAAAAGGGATCAGTGAAGCTTTCGAGATGTACGATAGCTGCCCGCATGCAATTTGGAGTAAGCTTGGAATTCAGATGGAGTCCAGGTCAGATCCTCCTTACAGGAAAGTCTTAGGAGGTAAAGGAATGTTGCTCTTGAAATAGAGCAAACTAAAGCAGACTGGGTGCAAAAGGCTGAGCTCTTCCAGACTCCCCTTCTGGGTGTGGATGTACATGGGGGAGGGAAGGCAAAGGAATGCTATATGTATATACCACAGGATTGATAAGGAAAATTGAGTTAAGATGCTTCCCAATCTAAACAAAGATCTACTTATTCAACTAAACAAAGACCGCTCATAAACAGTAGAGTGGTGCTGTGCCCTTCTGCCAGGGATGAGTAGAGGGGTGATTCTTCATCATCAGTAGCTGGGTTGCCTCGTCATGCCTTTGTTTGCCCACCGGTGGTCACTTTCAGGAAGGCTGAAGGAACCCACGCTGGTTCTTATTTGGTCTCCACTTTCTTTACGCCACCCTCCTCTAATTCATCCACTTTTGCGGTGATGGACTGAGCCTTGAGTACTCGCTGAGTATGAATAATGACTGAGCTTAGCTCAAATGCCATATAAGGAAGGGCCTCTGAAAACTACTTTTTGCCCTGTCTCCTTTCAGGCACTTCTGGATCCAGCTGTGTGGTAGCCGCACTAGGAAACACATGGAGTCACTGTGTGAACACCCGGCTGATTCTCCAGTACCTTGATTCAGAGAGAAGGCAGGTGAGTGAGTGCTCCCACCCAGTTCTTCAAGTGTGAAGGTCAGAGATTAAGATGAACTAGAAGGGAGAGTATCTGAAAGTGTTTGCGACCATCTCTGTCCTGGGCCAGTACTGGCTGGCAAGGGGATCATAAAGAAACTTTGCTTGTCCTAACAGCAGCTAAAATAAGATAGGGGAGGGTGGGGGAAGAGAAGAGGGGAGCTAGCCACACACAGGGAAACAGTGTAAGAGTGGATCCTGCAGAGTTAGCATCTCCTTAACATGTGTGAATGACCAGGGACCACACTTGGGGGAATTTTAACTCCTCCATCTCTAAATGATTATTTCAGTGGATAATTGTTGAAGACTAGCTAGTTTGTGAGCAGATTAAATAATTGTGTTTTAAGTGCATAAGCCCAGATTCTGAATACTTTTACATTACCATATGTGCTAGTGGTTTAAGGTACTAAATGATGTCAGAGTCCTCTGAAAGTTTGCTGACTTCCTCGGGGGAGAATCCCTCCACTCATACTGTCCACCGCCTTCATAATCTTCTCTCCCAACTCCAGAGAAAAGAACGCTATAGTCTGATCTTCTCAAAAATCAGGAAGTTTCTATCTCTTGATGCCCTCCCTCAACTTTATCCCACCTTCTGACCAGACTTAGTTGGCATCTCTCACAAAAGAGGTCAAAGGAAAAAGACTGGGCGGCTACCCTGATTATTTGAATGGGGGCAGGATTCAAAGCCAGATTTGATGCCTAAATACATGATGAATCCAGGTTAATAAAGAAGGGGGTGGTACTGGGGGCCCTGTCCAGAGGAGATGGGGCAGGATGGTGTTGCTTTTACCAGCAGGCAATAAATTGACTCTTTTTAGCAAGGAGACAGGAATCATCAGATACAGATATGAGCATTTGCCTTTTCCAGACAACTTTATGGATGTCCTTGGTTACAGACCAGAGGATTCTTCTTAGTTTTCTTGGGCCTGTGTAAATAACATTCCAGCCTGGTCACTGGGTCAGCCCTGTTCTGAGAAGATAAAACAGATTATTTCCATGCAAGGAAGCATTCTTGTGTTTTCAGGCCCCCGCACATCTGTTACCTCAGAGACACCTTTTCACTGGTGATTCCAGTGGCCTGGGTGCTACTTCCAGTATTTTTCTTGATGGAATACATCCAGAAGATTTCTGGAGAACCTAATGACCTTTGATGTGTCTTGTAAGTGGTAAATGTTGATAAATAAACATTGTTAGTAGTTATCAGATATAGCACTGATAATAGCAGCATTCTTTGTGACTTAGTGTATGGGGGGGGGGGGCGGTGGTGTCTCTGTAACCACCAGGGCCAGCAGAGTAATGATCCACATGAGGCAAGAAGAAAATCCAATTCAACATGATTTAGTTAGCTGGTGTTGGTTCAAACTTCTGGGGTCTGACACTGGGCAGTTTATTTTAGACATACTTAAGTACGGTGCAACTTTAGAAAACAGTTTCTTGGTCACAGTTATCTCAATTCCATGTGCACAATAAAGCTTAAGTCATGACTGCATTGAAACTCTTTTGCAAAATACATGTGACCTCTTCCATAAAAATGGGTTCTAGGGGGCTGGAGAGACGGCTCAGTGGTTAAGAGCACTGAGTGCTCTTCCAGAGGACCCAGGTTCAACTCCCAGCACCCGCATGGCAGCTCACACCTGTCTATAATTCCAGTTCCAGGCGACCCGACACCCACAGCAAAACACCAATGCACATAAAGTAAAAATAAATTTTAAAAAAAAAAAATGGGTTCTATAGCTTAAGGGCCTAGGATCTGGTGTGGTCATACAAATAGCATAAAGGTCACCAGGCTATAAAGTACATGTGATATCTTTCCTAAGGATGGGTTCTATTGACTGAGAAACAAAGCTAAAGATAAAGGCGTGGGAGGAAGGGTCTGGAGTAAACATCCTGGGGGGTTCAGGTGAGGCTTAGCCCTACAGATAGCACAGGTCACCAGGTTATTATAACCACACCCACTTGCAGCCTTCTGGGTAGAGGACAGGTATACACACATCCCTTCCGCTGAAGAGACAAGCCTGTGTGTTTAACATTCCTGGTTTCCCTAGTGCTTGTCTGTGAGCACAAGGGCCTTTGTGTTCCCAACATCAGTGTTGATTCTATCACTTCATGGACCCTAGACCCTACCTGTTGAAAACCCACAGTATCTCTGCCTTTCATTTGAGATGCCTTTCTTCTTAGAACATCCTGATTCTGTAATCTCTCACATATAGTACTGTGGAATCCAGGCTTCCATATTCTAGTTTTTCTAATTCTAGGTAGAATTTGTAAATAAATAAAGTTAAAACTGTAGTTTTGGTTTCCTTATGATAACATGTTCATCCTTGTCCATTTTGTCAGAGCCAACAGGAAATACTTGATAGAACAAATGCTGTTTTGTGTGTCTTTGGTGACTTGAGGATTTGGGTGGCTCTTGGCTGATCGGGTCAAATACAGGCCACTGATCACAAGAAGTACCAGGAACAAAGTGTGGATAGATCGGTGACAGTCTATGAACTCATACCCTATTAGATGGGTCATTGGTGTGAGCTCCAAAGGAAAACGTGTTGCCCTGGTTACTGATCACTCAGCAGCAGGCTTGAATGCCTTCAAGTCTGGTTTTCAAACAAAAATGAACTATTAATGAAAATATGACTGGACTACCAATCCAGACAAGAGAACATGCATTTGATTTCTCTGTAGAAAGAAAGTGTTAAATCTGTGACCTAGTACCTAGGATAATGTTCTCTGTGGGAAACAATGTCTCAATCTGATGACCTCATCTCACCTTAGCAGATAGTGGGCTTAGTGATTGTCTCAGTCTTTCCTGTGGTCTTAGTTCATGACAAAGTGTTGAAGCCAAAAGACTTTTTGGTGATATGGGCAACCAAACAATCCTTTAAAATTAGTCTAGAAATACCTTCTTATGGTACCTCTGAGCAGGAGAGTGTGTAGGGCCATCGTAGGATAGCCATACCTCTGAGATACCAACTTGAAGATAATCGATAGAGTTTTTTATTTCTTGCTTTTGGTTTTGTTTTCAGTCTGCAAACAGAGACCACTCTACCAAGGAATCAAGCTTATGGAATGAGGATTATGTTTTATCCTGCACCAGGGCTCTTGACTATAAGGCTTAGTCTGGGATCACAGGGGCTCAAATCAAGCTGAACAGCCCAAGAGTTAAATTGTTAAATTGTCCCAGGGAAGGAGTCCCCCTTGGCTGAATATTTTCTTTACACCCTGGAAACTTCATAAAATTATATAACTAAGAAAGAAATCTCCTTATCAGGGTACAAGTTCAATCCCTTGTTTATTCTGCTTCAGTGTTTTCCAAGGACCTTCTTAAGATGCTGGGACACGTTTTCCTTTGAACTAATTCGGGGCTCTTTTCCACTGGGCTTTTAATTACTCCTTCCCTGCACTGCTCCAATCCACTTCTACCCATTTTACAGTCTTTTTCTTCTAACCAAAAACCTGTCTTTAGAGGAGAATTAAAGCGGCCTCTGATAGGTCTACTGTTGTCTTTGGCATTTTAAATCATCCAAAAATGCATGTGAGCTCACCATGTGCATAGCATAAAGATGCCAGGAAGAAGAAGGCATAGTTCTGATCTTGAGTGCCTTCTAGGCAGGGATGGAAGATTTTATATGGGTACATGTATGCACTCATGAATAATCAAGAGGGAGTTCAGAGTTAGGGATGCTAAAGCGCCATCACAAAGCAGTGTCAATCAAGAGGGAGTCCAGAGTAAGGGATGCTGAAGCGCCATCACAAGGCAGTGTCAATCAAGAGGGAGCCCAGAGTAAGGGATGCTGAAGCGCCATCACAAGGCAGTGTCAATCAAGAGGGAGCCCAGAGTAAGGGATGCTGAAGCGCCATCACAAGGCAGTGTCAATCAAGAGGGAGTCCAGAGTAAGGGATGCTGAAGCGCCATCACAAGGCAGTGTCTGACTTACTCCTGTGCGAATGGCTGAAACAGTAACCACTGTGAATCCAAAGAAAGGTGAAATCATCAAGGGCACCTTGAGAAGACACCAGGAGAGAGTGGGGCCTGAGTAGTTCCAACCAGTAGTTCTCAAGCCTGACTGCATTGCAGCTTCAGCATAACAGCTTTTGTAAGATACCAAAGCCAGAGCTCCAGGTTGATGAGCTAAAGCAAAATCTCTGCCTGGGAAGGGACAGCAGGAGCGCGCACATAGGCCTAAGAATTGATTTCATGTGTAAAGCTCACCCAGGTGGTTCTGATGTACCACCAACGTTGAGAGCCATGTTTGAAATACCAGATAACCTAGGATAGGCAGGAAGGGGAGATGTGCCCAGCACAGAAGAAAAGCAGGCAGCCACTCATGTCTGGTGGCACAGACTGGATCTGCTTTGTAACTGAGCAGAGGTTCCCTCTCAGCATTTGTTTGACAGATCTTTATTGGATCACCCCCATGTCTGCTCATTCCTGTGGAAGATGCTAGAATCAAAGAATTAAGAAAGGTAGCCAATACCCCCCCATTGCTTGGTTTACTTGGAAAGACAACCATGGGGATGGTATGTTCTACATGCATATCAATAATTAGTAAATATAAAGGTGATAGAAGGCCCTACACTAATAAAGGTTCTGGGATGATTAAAGAGGCAGCAGTCGGTACCGTGAATTGGCCAAGACCAACATTTGGGAAGTTCTTGAAGTACCAGGTTCCTTGTGATAACTCAGAAAGTTCTAGTGTGGGTGGCTATGCTTGAAAATGATGCAAAACCTGACGAAACATTCAGAGTATTTTTCATCAAATCCTCATGAAGTCTGTTCCTACGAACCACATATGGCATTATATAAATTTTGAAGTGCCCTAGAAGGAGTAATGAAATAAATTAATCCCGGCTAAGCCTCACACCCTCTTGATGAAATAAATATTATGACTCTCTTATTTCAACAGATTAGAAGTAGGTGACCTTTTCATATAGGCAGTTTATTTGAATAGACTTTATAATAATATT